ATTCAGTTTATAGTTGCCATTTGTGAAATCATGGGTATAGAATGCAGCTTAGAAGAAAGTTGTGTTACCAACTATTAGCACAGTCATGATTACTATGTGTTAAATAATAATAATCCCCCTTTATGCACAAGGGGTATGTTCCAAAACTCTCAGTGGATGCCCCAAACTCCAGATAGTACCAAACCATACAGATAATGTTTTTTTTTCTATTCAAAAATGCTTATGATAAATTTAAATTATAAATTTAGCACAAGAGGAGATTGACAACATGAACAAATAACAAAATAGGGCCATTGTAACAGTACTATCACTACTATAATAAAAATTGGATGAATGTAATTTCTGTCCTGAAAGAGTAAAAAAAATATTAATATTTTTGGTTCATTATTGACCATGGATAATTGAAATTGTGGAAAGCAGAGCCACAGGTATGTGGAGGATTATACCATAGGTTCATAATGTAGGAGTGCTAAAGGAAACCCATTATGCTTGCCCTAATTCAAAGCCCATCTGCCCACTCTCTACTCTTTGCTAAATAAAGGGAGGAGGTAATCCAATTACTTAACAATAGCCATATTCAAAGGTTACCAGGATTTTCCCTTCATAAACTTAAATTTTTCAGAAATAATTTCTCTGGAAAATACTGTAGAAGACATTTGGACATTATAGAGTTTGTATTTAAACTTTGGCTCAGATTTCAAGCCTGCTGTATATTAGCTGTACCTTGTGAAGGTCAGTTTCCTCCTGTGTAAAATGAGGGCAAACTAAAACTTCTTATTGTAAGGATTTAAAGACATAGTGCACATGCAACTGTAATAGAGAGCCTGGCACACAGGACAACTTGTCAGCAATGGTAGCTACTGTTATTGCTGCTGCTCCTACTTCTGTTATCGCTGTTAAAAATCTAAGCCTGGCTTCTGAATAATGAGCAATTAATATTTTTAAAAAAACCCTCTGGAAGCAGACAAATCCAAAACAAAAAAGTGGCTTTGTCTCAGAAATAATCAAAACAGTCATTAATCAATGGAACTATAATCAGTGTAGACACTAGCTTATTATGGGGCTTAATGGCCAAAATCTGTTACAAGGTTGTAAATTTCCATGACTACATCCATACTTTCATAGCCATTTCTTTGTGTTTCATTGGTATTTCTGGGTATTTCATTGATCATAAGAACTGCAATGACAATGTTATCTTCCTAGGTATCAAAATTTAAGCACACATATGCTTTAGGTCAAAGCATGCCTCTGGGTTATGGTGCAGTCATTTCTACAGTTTGTTTTTAAATTTCCTTAGAAACTTAAAGTTGCATTCTGGCTATGGGTACTCCATAATATATATGGAAATTTCAATCTTTTCAGTGCTTTAATTAAAAGAGGCGGTTGTGTTTTAAAATAAAACTCCCTCACAGGTTGAAAAATCCACCTTAACTGCACGATCTGTGACCTTGAGCGCTTCACTTAACCCCTTGGGATTTGATTTCTTCCTGTGTAAAATGGAAACATAATGCCCTGATCACAGGATTTTCATCAGAATTAAATGTGCTTAGCTCATCTGCTCATTCCTAAACCTCTGCCTTTCCTTGACAACTCGGCATACACCAAAGCTCACTGTATCACACCCATTTCCATATCTTTATAATACCACCTATACACTGATGATTGCCAATTTCATATCTCTATCCCTACTTTTTCCTCTGAATTCTAGAGTCACTTATCTAGCTGAATATCCAAAATGATCACTTAGTAAACTAAAGCCATCTCAAATTAACATTCCCAGAGGAAATTTTGAGCAGCCGTCACTCCTTTTCCTAGTCCTCTGCCCACCTGTCTTGACCCAGATTTCACCATTTCAATATGTGACCTTTTTCCTCCATTTCTCAAATTTTATTCCAAATGTATCTAAAAACTATTGCCTTCTCTTCATCTTCACCACCAAACTTCTTAAGCTAACACATAAAACTTGTACATCTTTATGTGGTAACAGGTGCTATTTCAAAATACACTGGATAATATTCAAATAAGGGCTTTAAGCATCTATATCTCTTCAAACAACCATCATTTCTTCATAGTGAACATTCAAAATCCTATCTTTTAGCTTTTTTGAAACATTTAGTGCATTATCATCTATAGTGATCCTACTGTACAATGGAACACGAGATTTTATTTCTCCTACCCAACTGTAGCTTGGTACTCAGTGATTAACCTTTTCCATCCTGCCTTCCAGACAATTGTCCCCAGCCTCTGATTATGATCATTTTGCTCTCAACATCAATGACATGAACTTTATTTAGATTCCACCTGAATGACATCATGTGGCATTTGTCTATCCCTAGCTTAATTTACACAATGCACATCTTCCAGTTCCATTCATGTTAACAAAAATTACATGACTTCATCTTTTATACAATTGAATAACATTCCATTTTGTGTATGTGTACTACATTTCTTGACCCATTCATCAGTTGGTGGACCATTAGGTTGTATCTGTTTCTTGGCTATTGTGAATACTGTTGGAATAAGCATAGGAGAGCAGATATCTCCTCAACATAATCATTTCATTTCATTTCATTTGGAAATACACACACACACACACACACACACACAGGAGTGGGTTTTCTGGATCATATGGAAGTATTTTTTTTCTTAATTTTTAGGAGCATCCAGTGCTTTCCATAATGCTGTACATATAATTTACAAGGTAACAATGTGCAATGGTTTCATTTTATCCACATTCTTACCAATCCTTGTTTTTCCTTTCTCCTTCTTACAATTTATATCTCATCTTGAGTTTCACCTTCTCTGATCGTACTATGTAAATTCTCTTCTTTCTTCTAATAGCTTTTTATTACATTATTCGGTTTAATTTTCTTTTTCAGAATTTGCTTCTCTGTTTATTTTCTGCACACATTATTTTAGTATAAGGTTCTTGAGAATCTGGACCACATCCATCTCATTTACTATTGGATCCTCAATAGTTAGAAGAGTACCTATCATAAATACTCCTGGATCAAACATGAGTAGACACCCAACACAGTGTTGGGTAAATGAAAAGAACTTTATCAGAATTGACTTTCTTAACATAACTTATGATAGAAAAGATCAATGATGCTTTAGGCACGTATTTGCAGTCAATTCACTTGTAGAATATAAGAAAACATGAGAAAAGGCCATCAGAGCAAAGAGAATGCAATTCAGAATATTCATTCCAAGTATGTGTTAAGACTATGATCAAAAGGTCACAATTCTGTGTGGCTGTTTATATATTTCCTTACTTCTCAAGGAAAAAAAAAGTTTATCTCTTTCAAGCTTTCTTATTCTTAAACTATTCATTCAGGCAAAAATTCTGAAGAACCCATATTTGCTAAACATATTTGCACGGTTCTGTCCAGCAGGTGGGAGAGCAATACAGGTATGATGTATAGAAAGTGAAAAATGAGGCCTTGTTCTGAACTGAAACGATGTAGTATTTCCAAGTATCTCTAGGCTGAACAGAATCACAAAGGACATCTTGTAATCCAAGTCTAATAAAATTGATGGAAAATCAGTTTAAGCCTTTTCCCCATATTTTGTTTTCCAACTAAAGAAAAAGTTTTTTCAAAAATGAGCAATTTTCAAGAGCCTTCTGAACATAATAAAGCATTCATCTAATTCTATGTATTTTCTAACATTTCTTTTTATCATTTATCATTTTATAGTTTCAAAAAATAAACTAATCTTTGGATCCGATCACTACAACATAGATAAAAAATTATCCTCAAGTTGATAAAGATAACTCAAGGGCCTCAGAAAGATTAGTAACTTTTTATAAGCTCAACAAAAATTGCAGAAAACTTTAGAAATCTTTAATTTTGAATACCTACTATGAGTTTTTAAGTTGTTCATCACTTAGAAACCCTCATAAAGTATAAGGAACTTTCTAAAGTACATAGATTTGATACATAAATGTAATATGAAACACTGCATTTATTTATATGGTCTTTGTAAGTAATAAAATGAAAGGTGTAACTTAAATAGAACTAAACTGAAAATATATATTTATATAAAGTTTTCTGTACTTAGTGATTTAAAAAATATTAAAGCATGTTAGTGATATTTTTATTACTTATGTATATTTTCCATATTGTTCAGATTTCCAACTCTGTGTTGTTGCTTTAAAAAAATGTTAAAGAGACAATTTCTTAAATTTCCTGTTGTTTTTCTGTATTTGTAAAATAGATAACTAGATGAGAATTTATTGGTATTTAGACCACATTTTTAAATAATGAGTGTGAGGTCAGCAAAGAAACTGTTGTTTTGCTATTACGTGAGTTAAAAAGTTGATAGCAACTAGAAGAAATAAAGAAGATGTTGATGCTTTCCCAAGAACATTTTTACTGTTCTCATCTGGCCCAGATTTATTTCATTTGACTGAGCTCCAAAGCATCATCTGGATCTAGGAAGAAAGGGCTACTGAGGCTCTAGGATGACTGTGGTTTGGGACAGAAGAATCAGGGAAAAGCAAACAGCCATGAGAGGCAGTACAGGATAGATCAGAGCCCCCGCCTAAGAATAAAGGAAACCCTCTTCCAAAGTGAAATGGTAACAGATACTTCTGTTAATTTTCACCAGTTCCCAAGTCTGATAATGTGTCTTTCTTTACTTCCATTCTGATTTGAGTAGTAACAACAACAACAACAACAACAAAAACACACCCTCCCCGTGCACACCCATTTCTTATGCATTTAATGAATGTCAGTACAGTGCTACAGATTGAACAAAGGGAAAAGAGATCAAAACATACCCACTCTTGCTTTTCTGGGATGCAGCAATAAATACAAATTTGCGAAATTAAGAAAGGAGACAAGGAGTACAACTAACTACTGTGCTTAATGGTAAATACATGGCGGAACTGCCTTCTTGTCCAGCAGCACAAGAAATGTGGACCACTGCTTCCCAGTGACTATCGGAAGGGATTTCACTCATGCCTCTTCTGAATGCTTCTCTGTATTTCCATACAGACGCTATCCTGATTGTGATTGCCTCAACTTTGGATCATGGTTTTTGTTTTCCTTCCCAATTGCTATTATTCTTCTACTCTTGTCCTGGATCTGGCTTCAGTGGCTTTTCCTGGGATTCAAGTAAGTCAACTTTTTTTTTTACTTGTAGGTGGACACAATATCTTTGCTTTATTTATTTATTTTATGTGGTGCTGAAGATTGAACTCAGTGACTCACACATGCGAGACAAACACTCAACCACTAAGCTACAACCCCAGCCCCATAAGTCAACTTTTTATGTTAATAAAATAAATAAAGGTGTCCAGGTTCCGAGTTGTCTGGTGCTTTTCCATCTTTTTATTACCCACAAAACTGATATGCATGAATAAATTTTAAAGGTAAGCTAGAATCTTATTTAAGCAATGTTGGCTGTGGAAAAGAGTCTATAAGGCAAATCCATCCAGGTGTTCTTTGAGTCCTAATTCACTACAATATGCATAAGCCAGAAGGGTATAAGGAACCCATTATGAAGAGGACTCAATCCAACATGTCAAAGTGGAGTTTTTAGAAGTTTTGGCCTTCTACGTGACTCAATGTCATTGACTTCAGCAGGTAGGCATCAGTTGGGAGAGGCTTTGGGTTATAAATTACTTTCAAACAAAGCACACAGGGCTTCCTGCTTTTTGCTAGAACCAAAATTGAAACAGGCTCTAACATATAAAGTAAATTGAATATCTAAAAATATTCTCTATTATCTCAGGGATTGGGCAAACAGGGATAACACTGTGGCCTCTCAGAGGCCAGATGAGTGATCTTTGCAAGTCCTGACCCAGTCCCAAGTCTCAGTTCTTCAACTGTAAAAAGTTAGAATTCACAAAGATGGATTCCAACACTGTGATTCTAACACACAAGGGTACAAGTTGAATACATAGTACCCGAGATAAGATACACTGATCAATAAAGAATTGCTGATGCCAATAAAATGTATATATATAATTTTGGCTAGGATTAAATCTCATAAGCAGCAATGAGTTATACGACTTAGATGACAGCTGACACTGAAAATTAAGAAGGGCTTCTCAGGAAAACCTAAAATCCAGCCTATGTTTTCAATTCATTTAGTAATACTCCAAAAAGAGAAAAAAAAGAAAAAGAGAATAATTCAAATTCATTTTTGTGGAGTTTTATTTAAATAATTTCCAGGACCTATAAATAAAACAGCATATTATTCACATAGACAATGAGGCTGAAGTCAGCTATTTGTATTTCTTCTGAAAAGCAAAATAGTATGGTGGGTGTGGTTTCCTGCCTATGCCCACGTTTTCCAAGCCTAGTAACATAAGGACTGACATGCTCCTCTCTCAATTCTTCCTGATTTTTCTCCAGAACTGCCCAATGGTTTTAGTAGTGGAAAGATGTTACGAATGATTTAACAAAAATAATTCTGTCCAGATTGTGGGAGCAGCATGTGGCAGTCCTCCCGCTGAAGCAAATGTGTGGGATGTCACTGACTTCAGCAGGTGGGCATCAGTGGGGAGAGGCCAGCTGATGCTCTGTGCCCCTCCCAGGAAACCCAAGCTTTTGGGGCTCCCCAATTGTATAGGTAGCAATGTCAGACAAGGGGACAGGAGTCCAGCGCCAATGGAGAAAAGATCTGGTCACAGGCCCCCAGCTGTTTTGCTCTGTTGCTACATATAAAGACTTTACAAAATATATGTGCAACCACTATCATTATTTTAATACAACTCAGAAAAGAGAAATAAGTAAGATAAAGGAAGAAAAAAAAATCCTGTGAAGTGCATACATTAGGCAAAACCCATAAATCATGATGAGTGGCAGGTTTGAACAGTCCCCTTTCTGTCCACTACTGGTTACACACAGCACAGCTTCATGTTCTGGCTAATTTTTCAGTGTCCTTTTCGGTCTGCCAGGATGTTTACCTCCAGAGGTTTTAAATCAACAGAAATTATGAGCCCCTCCCCTGGCAGGCTACCATACATTCTGATTAGTGTGTTGACTGTTAACATAGTTAATTCACCCATTATAAATGTTCCATTATACTTGGGAAGTGTAGCTCATCTATCAGGGCCTTGGAACTGATTTAAATGGAGAGGTTGGGGTTGATGCATTGGCACATGCTTCATCATTTCCTTCATGAAGGAACTAACCTTCATTTGTAGAAAAGCCAATTGGCTTTGACTTAACTATTTACTATCTGCAACCAAGGGGACCGAGTATATATGTAGTGCACTGGGTGGAGAGCAGCTTCTAAGAGAGGTTATCTTTTTCATTAGCTATACTTTTCCAGTGAGTATTCTCAAGGTGGCTCATGGATTCGTTTCTCATAATAGTGCTACTTATGTTGTGAAAAAGGCATATTGTCCGGAGATTAGCACTGTTCAATAACATAATTGAAACTGTAAAATATGATTATTCCCTCATTGATAGGACAACAACAATATCCATCTAATTATTTTCATGGGTTAGGGTTTACCCATGAGGATAATTATAAATGTACAGAACAGATAGCTTAAGAATTGAGGAAATTCTGCTCCTTCAAAGGGAATCACACCCCAAACAAGGCTGAATAGTGCAAATGTGTGGGGGAAAAATAGATTAAATCATCATGTACATTGGTGAGAAAACTACCATCTCATAATCCTAGTCTTTCTACTTGGTCTCTCATAAGTACATATGTGTAACCCAAAAGTCTACAGAAGAAAATGTGTCCACTTTCTCTATCTACATGTAACTTAAACTAAGCTACCTAAGAATATTCTAAGAGATAATCTCTAAGAATTTAGCCATCTCCCCATTTTTCTTCTGCCTCTGGGGGGATTTATAAAAACAAACTAACCAAAAGAAAAAAAGAAATCCATATAGAGCAGTGTTCCACAAAAACTCTTTAAAGTTTTGAAAACCCTGGAATTTAGGACAGAAAAATTATGTCACAGGGAACCATGGTCAAGAAAATAAGTAACTAAAAGCAATAAAGAGTAGCAGTTACTCCTGGAAATAAATTGGAAGATCTACTAGGTGCTGTTAGGACAGAAGTGTGCAGAAACTTAGAGAAAAAATCAATATTGTTGGTTTTACTTTTGAGAATAGATCTAGTTTAAATTCTGACCAGGATCTATCTATGTGCCTTTCCTGTTCTAGTGTAAAAACTCAAATTGAGCATTTTGTGAAAATTGATGGACCTGACACCCACTGTCTCATAAATTTGCCAAAGGTACTGTTGAGTTGATGAGTCAGGTATTTACTGTGTATGTCAGTGGTAAGAGATATGGGGCCAAAGAAAACATGTATGACACTGTCACTGTCCCTGTCCTCAAATTATTTATTTATCTAACTACTGGGATAAAACTTACATGTGTATATCAAACAAGATTTATAATAAATATGTTTTTAAACGTAATATAATGATGGAGCATATAAAAAAGTTTTAGACAGGGATGAGTGGCACATGGAAAAATTCCAATGACACCAAAGGACTTGGAAAATTATGAGATTGGTGGAAGACATCATGGAAAATATGCAACAATAATTAAGCATTGAGAAGTGAGTCAACCAAGTAAAAACAGAGAAGACAATCAAAAAGAGAGGGGAGGAATATTTGGAAAGCAGAGATTTCTGTTCTTAGCAGTGAATTTCATATCATAAAAGGTTATCACAAAAATGTCGTCTGTAAAGGAGGGCAGTGGTGAAAGAACCCTTTGCTTAAGAGTCTTTACTTCTTTTTCAGTTTTAAGGAGTTGCTCAAATGTGGCAAAACCAAAACTGTGAAAGAAAAAGCTTGTGCTGAGGTGATCAAGCAAGAATACAAAAAACTTGGCCCGATGAGGTAAGCTACACACACACACACACACACACACACACACACGGATTGCAAGTAGTTGTTTAAAAGCAAATAAAATAAGCACATCATTGTCCACAAGGTGTAATATTCGATTCACACACGAAATTTGCTAAATTTTATGATAAACATGATAAAATACATGCCACTGTTGAACTAGAATTTTCCAGTATAGAAGGACAAGAAGCTGAGAGAGCCCACCAAGGGGGGAGAGCTTTATCCAACTGTATGATGCTCTCAAATCATCGACATATCCAGTTCTTACAGAGTTTAGTGCTCTGCTAAAATTATTCTTGACAATAGCTCAGAGAGTTTTCACAAATATCCTGACAGAGAAACAAAGAAATGACTGGAGTCTTTCCACAGGTATCAAGAAATCGTGACCTTGATTCTCTTCATTATAATGGCCCTTTTATGGTTTAGCCGAGATCCTGGCTTTGTCTCTGGTTGGTCTGAACTTTTTTCAGAGTAAGTATTACATGCTAGGCTTGTCAGAACTTCCCTGTCTTATACTGAACTTCTCTCCTACGTAATTCCTGTATCTTGAAAAGATAGTATGAGATTCTTTTCTTTCTTTCTTTTGAAAAGATATATTTTTTTTTATTTCTAATCTTTTCAGGAAAAAATAATTTTAAGAAATAAAACCTAAGGTTAAGAAAGGATAACCATACTATCCTATAATAGAACACCAGGGAACATTAAGCAAGGCTATATCCTCCTTACAAAATTGGAAATATCATCTGCAGAAAAGCTGCAGTCTGTAGAGGTCAGGAGTAGGGACGTCAGAGACACACTGCCTGGGTTCCACTCCTGGGCTCTTCCACTTACTCTAGGCAAGTCACTGAACTGCCTCTTCATCTTCATCTTTAAAATGCAGACAGTAATATCACTCAGAAGAGTGCTGCTCCTTTTCCTGTAGAAAATGCTATACAAATGCGTATTACATGAAAGAAATGCCACTCAATGCCTGTGAATAATCTGACATAAATTTATCCAACTTACTATTATTATGATATTCCTTCCCTCTATGGAAGTCTATTGATTGAGCTTGTCATTCTTTCCATGTACATATATTGTGGGACTAGTTCACTACAAATTCAGCTCAACCTCCATTTCAAAGATAAGAATTTCCTGAATTAGTAATAAGACTGATTTTAAAAGCTAATACTAGAAGCCTGGCAGAGTTAATTTTATCTCTCGGAGTCTTGTATACCAGAGTCATTGCTGAGTCATGTGAAGTGAAGGGGGAAATTATAACAAGATTTTTCCATCCTACATGTCAATATGAATAATTTGGTTTTGAGATTTGTGTTTCCAATGTACCTTTCAATGGAGTACTCTCATTCCTAAATTCAGGAGATTTCTGACTTGGACTTCTTGTTTTACAATCCCCAGCAATAATCCATATAGTTTGGAGACAGAAACCAAAATTGTTTTGAGTCAGATGTATGCTGGCCACATGGAATAAAGAAACTCTTCTATCTCTGACTCAGAGCCTTCTGGTTTAGAGCTATTGCCACCATTATCTAAAAGGTGCAAAGTCTGAATCCAAATTTCTACTGACCCCACAAGTCAAGCAATATGACATGGTAGCATTTTATAAAAGATGGGCTTCCCTTAGGAGTAATGCTTTTCAGTTTGAGAGGTTTCAACAAAAAGTAACATCTAATTATTCAAAGAAAGTTATTATTAAATAGTTGATTAGCACTTTGTGGTTTTGTAATAGAATATAGACCAACATAAACTTTCAAAAATCTAACTCCTATCATCCAAGGTAGGGGAAATCTTTCTCTTAATACTAGTATGTAAGAACTAAATGAAACCAGACAATAGCTATTAAAAACCAGGCAAAAATCCCAATAGGAAATTCAGTTTAATCAGTTTCTAAGTGTTACTCCTTAGGGAATGATAATGTAATTCAGGAGATGCTTTGTTTGTAGCAGGAAAACAGTGCATTTGTTATGGGCAGGTGCTCCTGTCACCTAGAATTTGGAGGAAAAAAAAACAATAGGAAAGAGAACAAAGGTTTGAGAGAGGATGAAAAATATAAATCTAATTGTCAGACACAAAGCAAATGAAATGTGTATAAGCTTAATATTTTATAATATTGAGACAACCTAATTCATAATGAGCTAAAAATAAAAGTCATAATCAAATAATAATAGTTCTAAAAGTCTTTCAAAAATAAATTATTCAATATTTATGATTTGATTTTATTTGAAATATATTTTCTGTTGAATACATTTGTTACTTAGAGGTTTTAGACATTTAGAATTTCTAACCTAGCATGATATATTAAGATTTATAGCTACCACCTAATGTTTTCATTCCATCTGTTTGAACCTGGACAGAATTCAATGTGTCTTTTCATATAAAGCAAACTGCAGTTACATGATGCCTTGCCCAAGTTGGCAAAAATTCAACTAAAAATTATAACTAAAATAAAAAATAAGAAAGTAAATTATTAGTGTTGATCAAGTTTATAGAACAAATTATGCTGTGATAGGCTTTGATTCAAAATGAAAGAAAATAAGTCTAAGGAAAACAGACTCTGTTAAATTTTTTTGTTGTTAGATTGGGAAAGATGCTGCATTTCTTTAATTATTCAGATCTTTCAAGCAAATTACGAGAGTTGAAAAGCTTTTAAAATATAAAAATTACTGAGTTACAGTATAGAAAATTAATCCTTATGGTATATGCATTTCTTTTCGGGCTATGAAAATGCACTCAGTTAATATTACTGACTTTTGAAACTATATTCTAATTATCTATGCCCTGTTTCATTTATTTCTGGTTTCCAGGTGCTTTTTAACTGTTGAGGCTTTGGGGAACCTGTCTTATTTGCTGGAATGGCCTGGTGATTCTAAGACCCATCTGTTCCTGAGTCACTCTTAATTTGTACAGTGATAATTTATGAGCATCTCATAAACCATCCCAGGAATTAATATTCTTGACTGAGTTTCATGGAGTGCAAAGAATTAAATGTGTTGGTTTTATTTGTCTGACATGACTAGGACATAAAACTGCAGAAGCAGGTGTTATATCTAAGAAAACAGATCAGTTCCTTTTCATGGTTTATAGAAGAATTTGAGAAGACTCTATCATTATTATGTTTTGTCACAGTTCAAGAGAAGGATGTTATGGGCTTTTGCCCATTACATCAATTGTTTCAACCTCAATTTTCTGCAAATATAATTAAAAGAAACAAATCAAACAAGAAATTGATTCCCAAATCTGCAAGCTTACCTAGAAGGGAAATTTGGCCAGTTGACCTATTATGTCAGCATCTGTAAATGTGATATTGAAAATAAGAAGAACTGTATGAAAGCAATGGGAATGTGTTCTGATGATGGGTTCTACGGAGTTGTGTCATCTGGTTGGAAATCCATAGACTTTAGAGCAGATTATATGGAGTAAATAAGCTATGCCACCTGTTAAATAAGTACTATTGGCATAATCAATTGATGTTTTAACTCACTAGTTCTTAATGCCATTTTTTAATGAACAATTTTTTTTTCAGGAATCCTGGTTTTGTTACAGATTCAACTGTTGCCTTAATTGTAGGACTCCTTTTTTTTATAATTCCAGCTAAAACACTGACGAAAACTACACCTACAGGAGAAACTGGTTAAGTACCATTTATAACTAACTTTAATTGAATTTGACAAAAGAGCAAAAAATTACAAAATTCCATCAGTTTCAGTTAGCACTTAGAACAGAAGGAATGTCCGTGCTGACTCAACTCCTGGCTTAGCATGCCCTATTTACACACTGTATCGTCTATCTAGCCAGCACTTGTCCTACACCAACAAGAGAGATCACCTAACATGCAGAAGTTAACAATAGGCTTTCTTATGAACCATAGTTAGGGTTTTTCTATGTATGAACAATACTACATGACCTATAATAAACCAACTTCCCTGTCATAATCAGAATTAATCTTAATATCAGCAAACAGAAACAAAAACTTGGAAGTCATTGCTTTCTAATGAGAACTTGATAGTAAATGCTGAGGATATGAAAATGTGATGTGAATTTCAAGAGAAAGAGCATTTACATCCTCACAGTACTTATGGAAGAAAAGAAACTCAATCCCACATAGCCATAACCTAGGGATGGTATTCATTCAAAAGGACTGGTATTCAGTGGGAGCATTTACTGTATTTACAACCCATGGAAAAACAGGCATGTGCATTTACATGGGCACACACTCTCTCACAGGTGCACTCCTTAGACCTAGGATTCATTCGTGTCTGTACTTTATAGTAACACAGCATGTTTTAAGTAGTCAGAGTCCTATATTGTCAATGAGTTGACACATAACACATAATTTGTAAGTTTGGAAATAGAGTCGTAGATATGTACAGTTTTTATTGTTTTGTTTGTTGTTTGTTTTTACTGGAAAGAAACTGTGTTTTGTGCCATGGGATTGACCCATCTGACTCTTTGCATCACTTTCCATAAACAATTAATGTATCAGATATTCAGGACATGATATGTGTGAAAAGCATTATGTAGAAATAAATAATGCATTTTGCTATTCACTTGAGATTAGGATTATTCTTGTTGTGTGTTAAGGAATAGTGGAATATTTAGCATTGATTCTTGTGAGATCCTGAAGACTCTAAGCATGGCAATCAAAGCCCTAAATACCAACAAGGACAAGCACTGAGGGACCAATGTGGTAAGCTCTAGCTTCCCTGGTTCCTAGATCTGAATCCTTCTCTCAAAAAGCTGTCCCTATCCACCCTTCATGGCACCCTCATCATTTAACACATTTTTCTCACTGATAAATTTTTTTACACTTTGTTTTAAAATGGCAGATAAGATATATTCTGTTAAATTTAAGTAAGAGGTCATTTCAGAGATGTTTCATTTTGAAAGAGTATATGGCCTTAATCCAATTAAGGAATTCTGTAGCAAAATTTCAGTCATCAGTGAAGGTTGGTTTGGTTCCAATTTAGGGGAAGGAGATAAAAAGGAGGTTGAAAAGCAATCTTATAATCTCATCATACGGAAGGCTGCCTCTTACACACAGATGTTAAATGATAATTTGCTCCTAAATGAACTTACTTATCAACAAATAAATGGAAAGCTCAGAACCCAAATATCAGGAGATATCTTTGTGATAATTGCTTTCATTTTCACAAATACAATTTTAATTTTTTAATCTGAGCTTTGGATTACCTATAAAATGGAATCCTGACGAATTCGTCATGATTCTCCTGACTTAAAAAATAATAAAGTACCCAAATAAATTTTAGTGAAGAATAATTAAAATTGTACAGTGATTCTACTAGAGCCAATGAAAAGTTAATATTCTACATAACAAAGAAATGTCTAGTCTAATTCACTGTGTTATTAGTAGGAGTAGTGGAATGGTTGAATGAATGAATGAATGAATGAATAGCATTATAAGTGACAGTGTTATAATCTACTTAAATGTATTTCAAAATATTGCCAAAGGATTTTTTCCAAGTTATAGAAATTTTAGTAATAACAAAAATCGAGTACAAGTTCTATCTTCTTTTTCAAAACAATATAGAAATTTTACAAATTTCCTGTTAGATGACTATGTAGAATACTGAAAAAAAACAGGGAATAGTGGTACATTCTAAGCACTATTTAACTGTAGCTTTTTTTTTTTTTTCAGTTGCTTTTGGTTACTCTCCACTGATTACTTGGAAAGAATTCCAGTCATTCATGCCTTGGGATATAGCCATTCTTGTTGGTGGAGGGTTTGCCCTGGCAGATGGCTGTGAGGTAATACTCTGTAAGATATTTAACAATTAACTAGACTGTTCAAAAGAAGAACACAGAAACATTCAAACTTTTGACATATTCAGCATTACTATATCATTTTAATGATGCAGATTTCAGTAACCATGCAGTGAGTGTACCACACTGATGAAGTGAGTTCAGAGTTCAATATTTTTTATAGGCTACAAGCATAAAACAGTTTTTATGGTGTTCTACTATGTCAAAAAAGATCATTCAAAGGAGACTAAAATTCTTAATCCATACAATAATATTAGAAGACTAGCTTGGTAAGAAAAAATACATAAAATGATATTTAAAATGATACCTTGTGAAACATACTTTTGTTTGTTTATACTTTTACCTTATTTCATGATAAATTTGAGTAGTTCTTGGATTTCAATATGTCATGGTCCTATTGTCAAAAAAGTAGAATTAGAAATAAAATTAGTATCAAATTATATAATAAGTGTTTATTGACTGAAGCCCAGAGAGAATTTCATGCAGGTATCTAATATTCTATTATGTCAAGCCTTAGAAAGAAATCAAAACACCATGGGGAAGACACTCAGCTGTTGCTTTGACCTATCCAGACATTATAAAGCAGTGCTGGTCCCTTTTAATTGCCCTGGTCATTGGTAAGGTGGCTGGAAGAAAAATCTCTTCTCTAAAAATTTCTTAGAAATGTTTTACTACTTAAAAACTACTTATGTCTGGATTTCATAGACTTTTGTGCAATACTCAAAGCTTATGGTGGCTCCATTTCCTTTCTCAATCATCAAATTGAAGGAAATGGGGTGACAGAAAGGTCAAGCCTTTGGATTTCTAAGAGGTTAACTTTTTATATTTCTCAAAACAAATAGTTCTCTCTTCTCTCCTTGGTAACCTATTGGGAGTCTGTTCATTGCTTCTAAGTTTTTTTTTTGTTTGTTTGTTTTGGTTTGGTTTTTTGTCAATTTTCTGCATAGTATTTAGATACTGAATTTTTAGAAAGGATTTAGTCAAAGATAAAATTCTTGGAAATTGTCTCAATTCTGAATGCATTTTACAAAATTGTTTTAGGTCTAGACATGGCTTCTCTCATATATGACTCAAAAAGAAATGGTAGAAATATGAGACGATTGTACTTTTCTACTATTTCAACAATAATGAGCTCTGAATTCTCAGAATAAATAATATCCATTCCTATGTCTGCCCATTTGAACTGTGAGGAAATCAGAATGGGAAAATCTGACATTGATACATCTTTTGCTCACCTCTCCTCCCCAGAATATGTCCAGACTGGATCCTATATTAAAATAGCCTTGAAAGTATAAACTAGACCCTTAAGCAAAAAAATCTGAAGTAGAAAGGTGTGGATTTAGTCTGATGCACTAGGCTCTCTCAGCAGGAGACTTAGGGAAGCATGGAGGGAGGTCTAATTTGCTATAAAAATCCTAATATCCAGAATCAAATTCCTACAAGAATACCCAGAATAACCCTATCCTTAAGTGGCCAGATTTAAGCCAAAAATATGGCCGTAGGCATATGCCTGTAGACACTGGTTTTACAAACAATTTGGGAACAGTTAATTTTTAAAATTTTTTCTTCAAAATTCTAAGTAGTTTGGCAATCATCCAGAGCCAAAAAACCCTTCTAGTTGAAAACAGGGAGACAGAATGACTACAACATTGGTTTTGCTGCTATATGTCTCTCTTAAATGCCCCTTGAATTTTTTTTTCTTTAGTACTGGGGATTGTCTGAGCTACATACCCAGTCTTATTTTTTATTGTTTTTATTTTGAGACAAGTTCTCACTACATAGCCCAGGCTGACCTCAAACTTCCAATCCTCCTGCCTCATTCTCTAGAGTCTCTGGGATTACAGGTGGGCACCACCAAGCCTGGCTCCCTTGATTTGTTTTAACATGACTTCTTACAAACTAGTAGACACTTTCAAATTCTTATGCAGGAATAACTCATACTCTTCCCTTTTCACATGTTCCTCAAAAGTTTTCCCCAAAATAAACATGGAAGATTAAAACACTGTTTTCTCACATCTCCTCCAAACTGGAAAGAACAGAACAAAAAGGCATTAATTCAAAAAGACAAAAACCATCTATATGACTGGGTCAGTAACAGACAAGATATGATGGAAAGTTTAGAAGATGGAAAGAGGACATTTGAGGACATTTGACACTGTCCAAGTAGAAGGAAATGAAAGATGAAATTTGCAGGCCGACAAAGACAAGAGTAAAGGGAAACAAGGGGCTTTATCCATGAGATCCTGGAAGAGCCAGAAAGAGCTGGCTGCAGATAACACTGAAAGCGGAGGTGAAAACTGAGGTAAAAGCCAGAGCTCAATACTGAGGATGGTTTTATTTTATTTTCACATTTTTATTATTTATTAATTAATTAATAATTATTGATTTATTTGTTATTTGTTCATTTGTTTATTTATTATACTGAGGATGACTTTAAAGTCTAAAAGGGGCTCTGAGCCTCTCGGATCTTTCCCTAGTCCTGAATATCCAGGCTGCTGTTCTGTCTCCCTGCTTACTGAAAATTATTCTTCTACCAATGAGATAATGACTCAGGCTCAGTTGCCTATGATAAAGTTTTTCTTTCAGCTGTTCTTGCCTGGCAAAAAGAGCTTCCAATCACCAATTTATTCTCTCTCTTAAAATGAATGGTAGTCAAGAATCACTACACTAATGTGCACTGACACATTAACCAGAAACAAAAGATAAAATGCGAAAACAAAGAAAAAAAGAAACAGAAAAAATCAAGAAAAATAAATGTGTGAAGCTATACACACACACACACATTTGCTCCTGATGCCTCTAAGAGATGCTGGAAACATTAAAGATGTGAAACTGAAAAAGAACATTATTTTTTTTAAGGAATTGGCATAAAACGAAAAAGAGCTCCTTAAAGATGAGAAATATAACAGCAAAAAATTTTTAAAAAAATGGTAGCAGTGTTAAAAAATGAAATTTGAACATACACCAGAAATACAATAAAAAAGTAAAAGAAAGGAAATGTTCAAAATGAGAGATAAGAATATTGGAGCATCATTCAGGCTGGGGATATAGCTCCATTGGCAGAGTGCTTGCTTCACACGCACAAGACCCTGGGTTCAATCCCCAGCACCACAAAAAACAAACAAACAAAAAACGAATAGCAGAGCATCAATTAAAAAATATATAAACCAATGTAAACCAATAAAAAATGTAGCAAATCAATAGAAATGTCAGAAAGAGAGAAAAATTAAGAGGAAGAACATTCCCCCCACAAAAAAAATAATATAAGAAATTTCTCAGAGATAAAGATATAGAGATTCTATACTGAGAGAGCTATTAAGAGCCCAATATCAAAGTGCTTCATTTAGAATTTCAGAAACCCTGGAGATAAAGATGGTGTCATCTTTTCCATATCTAATTGCACATAGATAAAACCCATTTTTAAAGTCTGTGTGCTCTAGGATGAATTTTTGTCACATGAAGAGTAATATTTTTTCATCTAAAAGTCATAGACAAAAACAAACAAAAATATAAATAAAAACCACAAATAACAAGGGATATCTGGTACCCACATCTGTGATATTGTGCCAGTTTTTGAACTGAGAGTATGCTGCTCATACTTCATGCATTTCTGATGCCAATCCTAGTTTGTCATAAGCATATTATGTAGTAGCCCATTGAAATTGTCTCACAAAGTGCGTTTTCCATTCCATTTAGAAAAGACAAACAGGATAATATATCTGCTAATCTGGGTGCAGCCAGTCTTTTGGACATATGTGATTAGGCTGAAGAGCCCAGCTGAAATCTGCAAGAAAAGGTCCAATAATTTAAATACACAGCATGTCAGTTATTTCAAATCTCAAATTTTACAAATGCTGAACTATCAAAATGATATAAAAATAAAATTAAAAAGGTTTTCAGGTGTATAAAGACTCCCCAAAATTTACCTTCTATGCACCAGTTCTCAAGAAGTAATAGAAGGCTGTTTGCCCCCAGCATAACACATAAATAAGGAAAGATTCCCATAGCTGGGGAGAGAAGGGAACACATAGGAGCAAATGGGAGTCCTAGAATATTATTTGTGTAGATTTAAAGACCATCTAGTCCAGATGGAGTAGGAGGAGGGAATATTACAGAATGATATCTCCATGAGAGGACATGGGAAGAGAAAAAACAACAACAACAAAAAATTATCTCATAAAAGTAACTATTTGGGGGAGAATTTTCCAGTTTTATTGGAGAATATAATGCATTGGTGATAGATACTTGGAAAACTAAGCAAACAAAAGAATGAAGCATTATTTCCTGGGAAAACAATCAAAGAAAAGTAAATATTATCCTAGAATGCCAAGTGGCTCAGCTAGGAAAAGTATTTGTACAATCATACTGGTAAGCATTAAATCATGATTTAACAAGAATTATTGATGTATGATTGTGGAGGAATGAAGAGACAATATATGTACGGTGGATGGTGTAAGAAAATTAAATCCTCATGTAATATATTAGAAAGTCAGTAAATAATGTCTACTTTTGAAAATTAGGAAAAAATGCATAATTAGAATATTACTTTGAAGGATAACTATACTAGTCTCTAAATGTAGCTATAAATAGCCAATAAGAATTGAATGTTGCTGCCTCTAACACAATTTAGGAATAGGGAGAGATGAGCTAGAGGGACTGTTCTTTTCTTAAAATCACATAGTACTAAGTGAGTTATGAAAATACCCACATATATTAGTATATAAAATTAAAATGTAATTAAAACAAAGTGGGAAGATAATTTAAACTTTCTCAAGCATGTTGATAATGTTGAAATAAGACTTATCAGTCCTCCACATCAAAGCCATCCAGAGGTGCCATACCATAAAAAATGTTACAGAATTAAAAATTATATTTTGGAAACTAAGTTCTCAGCCAATAATGCTTTACATGTGTGTAAATTCTGTCCAATTAAAATGAATTATTAATGAATAAATATTGCAAATTTGTCTTATAGGTATCAGGACTATCTAAGTGGATAGGAAATAAATTATCTCCTCTAGGTTCATTACCAGTATGGCTAATAATTCTTATATCTTCTTTGATGGTCACATCTTTAACCGAGGTAGCCAGTAACCCAGCTACCATCACCATCCTCTTCCCAATATTAGCTCCACTGGTGAGTATCTTATTTATCCCATTTATGTTCTCTTCTTTCAAAAAGTAGTGTTCATTGGACTGCTTATTTGAATATTGTGGTGTGGAATCTTTGTTGACCTAAGTAGGCCTCCTAGAAGTAATTTATAGGGACTTTGTATTAATGCTTCCTTCGGTGACCTTGACTCAAGAGAACTATTTTCCATGTTCAAATAGCATAATTTTAAGTGAACCATTTATCTTCTTTCTGACCAGGATTTGTTTTCATTTACACATAAATGAGAGAGCCATTCTCAATCCTTTCCAGCTATAAGGGGGACTCAGTGTTTCCTGGCAACTTTAGGATTTAAACATCTCATGTTGACAGTTCTCCTTCCAGAATATTGTTCACAGAAGCAATAAAGTTTGTGGTATAATTAGAAGCTTTGGAGTCAGAGGAACCTGAGACCTTACCAAACCTCTTCTGCTCACTAGATGCATGTTTAGAGAAGTTGCTGTAGCCTCTCTGGACTTCAGTGTATTCATGTGTTATTTGGGGATATAGTTGCCATCTCATAAAAATTTTAAATATATATGCAAGTGCATTCATTTATTATATTATATATTATGTATAACTATATTGTATATGAAAACAATTAACACAGTAGCTAGCACTATATAATAATATAAGGTTGATATTTTTATTTAGTGTCTGGAATAAATGATATCTTATTTTCTAAATTAACTGGACTATAATATTTAAATAATCATTTATGTGTATAATTTTATGCCTTCAGGTTTCAACTTCCTTCTGGGAAAGCTGATTATAATAAATGTGCTTGTTTTGATGCATGGTGCCCACTCTCAAAATGTTCCTTTAACTCTTTTTACCTTTTTATCTTTCAAAATAGTCTGAAGCCATTCATGTGAACCCTCTTCATATTTTGCTGCCTTCTACTCTGTGTACTTCATTTGCATTCCTTCTACCAGTAGCAAATCCACCCAATGCCATTGTTTTCTCATATGGCCATCTGAAAGTCATAGACATGGTGAGTTAGCTAAAAAAAAATGCTACCATATCCAATACACATTATTATGTGCATGTAATATCTTGAATAAGCTCTACTTTTAAACACTAATCAACCATCAGGAAAAGCGTGGTCTAAGTTCTGCTTCCGAAGGTGTACACAAGACTGATTAGGAACTTGTTTTTAACAGTGATCATCAGTAGTGAACATGGCATTAGAATTGGTACTTGCAAATAAAGATATAAGGAACACATCAGGAGTGGTTGGGGGGAAAGGAGAAAAACAGAATTGCTTAACACAACTTAAACTTCACGTGTCAAAATCAGAATCCACCTCGACCAAGGCAAAAGGAAAAAATAGGGTTAACACCATCCACTAACTGGGTTTCTATCACGAATATTGATGCAACAACATTTTTCCTAAATAAGACATTGGGTTTAGTGACTGACAGATAAAAAGGCATCTTTCTTGTTCTAATTCATGAGCAAGTAAAATCGTAAATTTAAGTGATAAAATATGCACATTTCTGCCAAATGCAAAACTAGTGTCAGTTAAGAACTTATTTGAGAATATTCTAGAATATTCAATTTTCATCACCAACTTCCAAATCTGTATAAACAAGAGTATAACCAATGTCCGTTGGTGAGCTTGTTATTCAAATCCATTTCCAAGGTAAGTCCCTGATCCCTTCCTTCGACCCAGATTGCTGTCTCTAAATCCCTGCAATGTAAAACTTCTGGAAATATTTCTATGCAGAAGTCACATAATATCTTTCTAGTAAAAAAAGGTGCTTCATACAATATATGTGATGCTGTGTGTATGTGTGTGTGTGCCGAGATTAATAAAAATAAGATTCTGAAATAAATTAGTGGCTTAGATGGAGAGAGAAGGAGACCTCAATAATAGTCATTGATAAGTGTCCCTCTTTTACTTTGGGGATCCATGTTTTATGCAGAAAATTCAGGAGTGAACAAACATTCTCTGTAATATGTGAGGCTTTGTGGGCCATACTGTCTGTTCTTACAAATATTCAATTCTGCCATTAGATCATGAAAGCAGCCAGAGACAATATGCAAGCAAATGTGCATAGTTATGGTCTGGTAACACTGTACTAACAAAGACAGATCAAGAGCAGAAGTTGGGCAATCTCTATTTTAATGAAGATAAGTGAAATTGTTTAATGGACACAATAATTATGATGTAAGAGAGAAAAATGGGAACACTAAGAAAAATGAGTACAGATACAGATACATTCTAAAATTCCAATTACAGAATGTTTCTGAGTAAATTAATAAAAATAATTAAGTGAACATGAAAGATAGTTATCATGTGGTGTCCTGAAACTCATCCACTGAAATATAAAACCACAAAACTTGAATTCTGATTTAATATGCCCGGTCAGATTTTTTCAAGGGTTTTTTTGTTTTGTTTTGTTTCTCTATTCTGAATGACTTGTGCTCTTTTCTGTTCAAGGTTAAAGCTGGACTTGGCGTTAATATTTTGGGTGTTGCAGTGGTGATGCTCGGCATGTTCACCTGGATTGAACCCATGTTTGACCTCAACACTTACCCTTCTTGGGCTCCTGCAATTGTTAATGACACCATGCCATGACAAGCACAAAATTTCTTACCATTTCTTGGCAACTTTGAAGAACCATTAAGAATCCACTATAAGATGCGGTTGTATAACTAAGGACTCATTTAAATCATTCATAGTGTAGCCACTACTATTTCAATGAATACTCAAAGCCTGCTGTCATAACTTGAAGTTCATGTTGCTTTTGAGATGCAACCAGAGTGTCTGCGTGCTTCATCAAGAACCCTGGGGTTGAGATTTTGCTCGTAGGCTATCTGATCTTGCTTCATCATAAGAATAATTTATAGCTTGACCTTTAAGAGGGTAGGTCATTTGCTTCATCTTACAGTTAAAGTTCAGTATAACATTTCAAACATCAATGTATTATTTCAGAAATTTCCCATCAAACTAAAAACAGAAAATAAAGCATAACAGTTAATTAGGTACTTAGATAAATCATTTCTGTACCATTTTTCAAGGAAATTTGCTGAAAAACAAAAAGCCAGGGCCATCTGGTGTGTAGAGAAAAGTTTAATCAAAATGAAATTCCTCACTTAAAAAAATCCAATTGGATAAATTTTAATATATATATATATATATATATATATATATATATATATATATATCATATGAAAATAGAAATTTGAAGTAGTACATAATTCCAAAATTATAAGCTGAATCCACTAAATAACAGAAAACTCATAAAGATTAATTTCTATTTGACCCTCTTTATAAATTAATATTTCATACTTTATTATGATCTTTGCACTTAGAAAGCATTTTGGATAGCTATGTATAAAACTTTTAAGATTTTCACTAACTAGCACAGCATAGTAAGAAAGGAAACCTAAACATTATAAAACTATTAATACATTTATGCATGTATACAACATGCATACGTTTTTATCTTATTTTAGAAATGTTGTGTTAAAATAGGAAATATAGAAATCTAAATCAATTATCACTGTGTATATGAAATGAGAAAAATGTCATGTAATTCATTATATCAAAATTGAAAGGAGATATCAGAGGGAAAATGAAAAATTAAAATGACATATTTAAAAGAGAAAAATAAAATATTTATGAATACACCAAAAGGAAAATAAAGGGAAAAACCCTGAATACTCAGACAAAAAAATAAAGAAGACATAAAAAACGTAAGGTCTATTGGCATTAAAAAATTGGACTACAGCAAATGAAATAGCAATCAAAACAAAACAATGTGCACAATTAGGAAAATATGGAGATGTTAGATCACACAATTCTCATGCTAAAAATAAAATAGAAGACAAGGTCAAAAGCACCTTTTCTATTTTTCATATTCATAGGCACCTTTATAGATGTTAAAGAACTAGTTTGGACTGTTTGAAATAAAATTATTTTTGAAATTCAACATAGTTTTTAAAATATTTCTTTTTAAACAACATATGATACATTTTCCATATTTATTATTTCTCTTTATTAGTCAATACAAAATAAATTTTTTTTTTCAAAAAAAATTTGTGCTTCTAAATCTTAAAATATAATATTGGTATTTTGTGAAAATTATTTGTTCTTTCTGTTTGCTTGTTTCTTTCCTATTATATGCTACACATATATTTATGATCCATAGTACTGATCATTTTTCTGGTCTTTTCTAGTCATTCAATTTATTATAGCTGAATTATATTCTTTGATGGATACATTTTCACTGTGCAAAAAATAAAATGACTTTTCAAATTATAGTAAGTTTGGGTCTCAAGAAAATAATACAAACATTTCAGCTTGAATAATTTTAATGAATTATTTCCAACAGCTGTCAGCTAAATACAAGAAAGGTAATACTTAAGTCAAAATTGTCTAATTGAGGACTACATTCTCCTGTCACATCTTCGTGTTTGGCTGATATTTCGAAAATGACTTCTGCATTCCACATTCGTCTCATTTACATCAAAGTTCTCAAGCTCTTTTAGTTTGAGGGTTACATACTGTCTCTGAAAGTTTCTAAAAGGCAGTCCAAAACAGATGATCAAACAAATCTCTGTCCTCCCACTCCACAGTAGATAGTGTTTTTGTTATTATCTTGAACATCACTTAAAGGTTAACTAGAAATCTTTGTCACTTTAAATTCCAGTGTCTTACTTAGGATTGGATCTTGTCTAGATAATAGTAGCAATTTCACTAACTGCCTATTCTCTGTCTATTTGTGCAGACTCCTGGAAGCCTCCTCTGGCATGTGTACCTTTCACTTACCCCAGCAGCTGCCATTCCTGTTGACTTCTCTAGGTTCACAGCTCCTCTCACTCAAATGTGTGCAGTACTTTCACCTTCCTTAGTATCCCTGTCTTTGTTCTCTCCTTTTTAGTCTGGGAGGTAGTGAAGCACACTTTTAACCAATACTACCAAATAGCACTATTGGCAACAATTGACAAAACCATATCATGGCACCTTTTCAGTCCTGATATGGGCACCGTGTCTTATTATGTGGAAAAGATTATTATTAAATACATTTTTATATGTCAGCCACAGCCAAATATTCCATAAGAAGCTTTGTGTAACAGCTTTGTTCCAAAATTATATTGGTTTCTTTAATGAGTTGCTTTTACTCGAGTATGTAGATTTTACCAAATTAGATTTTTTTTTTCTTATTTTTAGTAGGGAGTGTGTTGTTCGAAGGAATGAAAGAGTAAAAGTGAACACATGGTTTCAGTTTTATTATTCAAACATAATCTAAAAAGGGAAATAGTTAAAATTGTTACTCCAGGGCAGCATTAGCCATGTCATTCCCAAGTGAAGCACTTTAATTCAGTAAAAATTTCCTAGTAAGTTCTGGAAATGCAAATATCAAACATAGGCCCCCACTGCAGAGACAAACCTGAGTAATCTGGAGTAAACAATAAAAATAGCATGTAACCAAGACAGAAATTCAAAGGTTTTTTTTCCAAAGACGAGAGTCTTTGTCTGTCTGGGAAATCTTGAGGCCAAATAATAGAAATTATTGTATAATATATATCTCTGTGTCTGTAAGAAAACAATGGACATCATCAAAGAAAGCATAAGCAAGAATCCAAAGATTCACAAACATAGGAGTAGAGGGGGTACACAGAGTTAAGATCCCAAGGACTGTATTCTCAAAGTATGAGATAGGGGCGAGAAAAAAACTCACCTTCTGGAGGGGATTTCTATGTTTTGGCCAATGTGGGCAAAATCTCTCTTGGAGATTCATAGGTCTAAAGTCATAAGTGTAAATACCCATAAGTGAGAAAAACATAACCTGAAACTTTATTCTAAAACTATTCTCAAATATCTAGCAAAAGGAATATGCTATCAACTGGGCACTCAAAAATTGCTAAGTTTAAGTTTCATGTGATATTTTAAGTAAGACTCATAAAATAATAAAACTAGACAAATTTATCAGCCAATTTTGTGAATCTTTTAGAACAGAATTTTAATTCTGTGTAAACTGTTTCAGAGACCAGAAAAGATAAAAAACTCCCCAATTAATTTGATGAGACTAGTATAACCTTGCTATCAAAGCCAGACAATAATGGTAAAAGATGGGGAAATTATGGACTAATTTTTTCTCCTGTTTGATTTTGTTGGTGATGGTGATGATAGTGGTGCTAGGGATGCAACCCGGGGCCTTGTGCATGCTATGCAAGTGTTCTACCACTGAGTTATATCCCAGCCCCCAAATATATTTTTAAAGAATCTTTAAAAATAGGAATTATGAAACTGAATGTGAAAACATAATATCTTATGTGAGTGCTAATTCAATTTGAGTTTAATGTTGAAATTCCATAAATGTTATGCATATTATCAGTCAATTGAAAGTTTTATATTGAAAAGTAATTTAATGGGATTCTTCACATTAACATAGTGATAAGAAAATCTGACAATTATTTCAATACAGGAAGAAAAAAATGTTCAGTGGATCTAAAAATCAATTTACAATTTAAAAATCATTTGAAAGGAAACTACCAAAGACTAACAACAATAACAGAAAGAGTATAACACATAACCTGTAATAAACATCAAACTTAATAGTGTATCCACCAGTTCAAAGTTAATTTTCAAATCCAGAATAAAGTAAGATTAACATTTAAAATTGGGGTTAGGATTAAAGCTTTTCCTTTATCATGAAGAATTTAAAAAAATGCCTGCTAACACCTCTTCCACTGAACCAGAAACGCTCAGAAATGAAGTAAAGCAAAAGAAGAGGCAAAATAATTAGAGTGTAAATTAGGAAACAATTATTTCTTACATGTGATATGGTTTTCTACAGAGAAAGCCAAAATTACTGTTTTGATGAAGTATCTGTATACAAAATCACTATACAAAAATTAATTATATTCCCATACCATAGTAACAAATTAGTAGAAAATTAAGAATTTAAAAGGAAAAGGTACTATCATGCCTAGGATTAAATCTAACAATGTCAGCAAAAATTGATATATTTAGAGATAAGGAGACTCTAATTGTACAAGTATTAATTCCCTCCAATTATCTGTCAATTCAAAGTAATTGCAATCAAAACCCCTCCTGATTTGGAAGGTAGATTTGAATGTGACAAGTTGTTTGAAATATTTTTAAAAAGAAAGGACCCAGAATAGCCCAAACAGTACTAAAGAACAACTTCAAATATTTTCCCCCTTTTCCCTGATCTGAAGGCATAACACCAGAAGTTCTAGTAAAATTTTTGTCATGATAACCCTTCCAGTAGACAATAAGTAGTCTAATATCCTTTCAGATAACATATTCTCTGCTTCTGTCTCTAGACTTTTAGCTCAAGTCCTTCCTCCACATTTTGCTAGAAGGTGGAAATAAAAATAGAATTATATATATATATAGTTGTTTCCCAATTTGTCTTTTATGTCTCCAAATTTTTTTAAAAAAACTTTTAGACAGATGTGGTGGTATGCACCTATAATCCCAGCAACTCAGGACGCTGAGACAGAAGAATCATGAGTTCAAAGCCAGCCTCAGCAATTTAGTGAGGCCCTAAACAACTTAGCAAGACCCTGTCTCAAAATAAAACATAAAAAGGTCTGGGGATG